ATATATATATATATATATATATAAATTAGATATAAAAAAAAGTGTGTGTGTGTGTGTGTGTGTGTGAGTGTTTTAGTCTCAATTGGGAACAGAAAAAGGTGATTCTTCAATGCTCACACCCCAATCTGAACATATGTAGAAGAAAAGAGTGGTCTTTATTGTGCTTTTGGAATATTGCTAGCCAAGCTGACACCTCTTAAGCAGGATTTGGAGGATCTGAATGGCTTTATTCTACAGAAAAGGCTTTAAGATACTGACATTTTGCCATTTTCCACCCATAAAAATCCTGGCTTTTCTGTGATGAGTCTTGCCAGTTGAGCCTCGTGGCCATAGAGCTTCCTACTAGTTTCAGAGCGTCTCATGTTTAAAAATGAACAAATGGACAAGGATTAGCAGATAAGGAAGGCCTGCAATATAAATGAGACCAAAACAAACAAGTAGAAAAAAGGAACTCAACTCAGAGAAAACTGACCATGTAGAGAATAAAAGAAAACATTTTTTGTTTTTTTTTGGAGACAGATCTCCCTCTGTTGCCTGGGCTAGAGTGAGTGCCATGGCATCAGCCTAGCTCACAGCAACCTCAAACTCCTGAGCTCAAGCAATCCTTCTGCCTCAGCCTCCCACATAGCTGGGACTAGAGGCATGTGCCACTGTGCCCGGGTAATTTTTTTCCTATTTTTTTTTTAGTTGCTTGGCAAATTTATAGTAGAGACGGGGTCTCGCTCTTGCTCATGCTGGTCTCCAACTCCTGAGCTCAAGCAATCCTCCCGCCTCGGCCTTCCGGAGTGCTAGAATTACAGGCGTGAGCCACTGCGCCCTGCCGAAAGAAAACATTTTTAAAAGCTCTATAATTAATAGCCCCAGAAAGATAAATAATTATATCTATGAAAGAACAGGATGCTATTAAAAAGGAACAAAGCGTAAGAAGAAGTTTTTATAAATTAAATTTATCAATGAAAGCCAAAATAAAAATGTAGAAGAGTCATAAAATACAGTTGAGGGAATCCTCTAAAATGCAGAATAAGAAGAGCAAGAAATGGAAAATAGGTGATAAAAGATAATAAAATTAAAACATATTTGTACAAGAGATTCAAAATCCAATTAGTAGAAGTTCTAGAAAAAGCAGAAGAAACAGAGGGGAGAAACTTCAAAGAGCTAAAACCAGAAATACCCTTTCTTCCCAGGCGGCCGCCAAGGGTGGTGGAGGGGCAGGTCTTGGTGCTTGATGGCTGAGGCCATCTCCTGGGCCACGTGGCAGCCATTGTGGGCCCGAAGGTAGTGGTTGTGTGCTGTGAGGGCATCAATATTTCTGGCAATTTCTATAGAAACAAGCTAAAGTACCTGGCCTTCCTCCGCAAACGGATGAACGCCAACCCTTCCCGGGGCCCTACCATTTCCGGGCCCCAGCCGCATTTTCTGGCGGACGGTGCGAGGCATGCTGCCCCACAGGACTAAGCGAGGCCAGGCTGCCCTGGACCGCCTCGAGGTGTTTGATGGGATCCCACCGCCCCATGACAAGAAAAAGCGGGTGGTGGTTCCTGCTGCCCTCAAGGTTGTGCGTCTGAAGCCTACGAGAAAGTTTGCCTACCGGGGCGTCTGGCTCACGAGGTTGGCTGGAAGTACCAGGCAGTGACAGCCACCCTGGAGGAGAAGAGGGAGGAGAAGGCCAAGATCCACTGCCGGAAGAAAGAGCAGCTCATGAGGCTACGGAAACAGGCCAGAGAGAACGTGGAGAAGAAAATTGACAAATACACAGAGGTCCTCAAGACCCATGGACTCCTGGTCTGAGCCCAATAAAGATTTTATTCCTCATGCTTGGCCTGGCCTGCCCTCCTCCATCGCCACCCTGGGATGGGGGGGACCCAGGGGCAGCAGTCCAGGTGCCACAGGCAACCTGGGGACAAGGAAAGGACCTCAGACACTGCACATCTGTAAGGTTAAATCACTCTAGGACTTGTGCAGATGTTATTTATCAACCTACTTGTTCATGAGAGTTTTAGAAAAGCTATTGAACCATCAGTTACTTAAGTTTCAATAATTGGAGGGGAGCCCTGGCTTCTGAATGGGGCATCTGGTTTAACTTCCTGCCTGGTCACATACTACACTCCACAGCTGGTAGAATGTGAGAAGACGCTTAAGGGGACAGTATGAGCTTGGTGTTGTACAAAATATTTATAGATGCACAGACTGTGGGAAGATAAGATGTATAACCAGCGGGTGACAGGCATCGCCTGCTCTTTCCCCTATATTTTATGATCCAGAAATAAATAGATTGCTTCCAAAGAAAAAAATAATAAAACTAGAAATACCATTTAATCCAGAAAAAGCACTATTAGACATCTGCCCCAAAGAGCAATAGACATTCTGTAATACATCTGCACCCGAATGTTTATGGCAGCACAATTCACTATTGCAAGGATGTGGAAAACAACCCAAGTGCCCGTCAATTCATGAGTGGATTATTAAAATTTGGTATATGTATACAATGGAATATTACTCAATTATAAGAAATGACAGTGATCTAGCACCTTTTATATTTTACTGGATTGAGCTTAAGCCCATTATCCGAAGTGAGGTGACACAGTAGCGGAAGAATAGGCTCCGCTTGTACTCGCCATCAAATGGGTACTGACTGATTTCCCCTACGGTGCTCACATGGTAGTAATATTCTCCATGGATAAGGGGGTTGGGCAAGGTAAACTGACAACTAAAGGACACGGTGACTAACAACTAAAGGACATTGTAGAGGGGAAGGGCATGCTTCTTACCCTTGCTTAGGTGAGGCAAAGACATAAAATGTAACCAAAAATTCTGGCACTCTGGGAGGCTGAGGCGGGCGGGTCGTTTGAGCTCAGAAGTTCAGACCAGGCCTCCTCGCAAGCGACCCGTGAGGGAGGGCGCGCCTCTTCACTCGCTCAGCTTTCCTTGACTGTTTTGGGTCTGGCTCCCTGGTTGATTTGAGCCAGAAGCACCACAGATAATTAGAAAACCATGGAAGCTACCCTGTATTGGTGGAGTATACACTGGAAGATTGCATCCAGGTGTGAGCAAGAAGAAACTCCTTTCTACTCTTGGGTCCTCAAAGTGTAGCTGAGAGGAAGGCTGTTTCTCGCACCCATTCTCCCGTTCCAGGAACAGAACCTCAGTTGTGAAAAAAGACAGATTCCAGAAGAGATTAGAAGAAAGAAGCAAGCACGAGCATACATCGGACGAGGGTCGGAAGGAGGGGTACCTGAGACCACGGGAGACTCCACAGGAAGAGGCTGCGGAGGAGAACTGGAAGCGAGACCTACCGAAAGGCCCGGAGACCAGCGGCAAGGGTAGGTGGAGCGTTAGCTCTCCTCTCCCTTGCATCTCGGACTGCTGATGGGCCCCCCAGTAGGTGTAGAGAACTGCGGACACCAGCCCAGAGACGGCCACCTCCAGCGAGCAATGAGCCTATAGCGGACGTGGCACCAGGCTCCCAACTCCCTCGGGCACCTCCGTGAGCACAGACCCGAGCGGCGCAGCAGGTGCCATATTGCCTCAGTCTCCCCTCCCCCGACACTACCCGCGGCTGCCGAGAGAGACAATACAGCCACCAGCCGGAGGCACCTCCAGGGAACGGGACTTTCCCTTTTGGAGCCCTACAGCTGACTGAAGGGAACTCAGACGGTGAGCTCCCCACCGGCCAGCCGTCCCAGGTGCTTCTGGCCTGGTGATTCCAAGAGAACAGGGCTGACCCTGAAGCTGAGAGACATTGCCCCAGCTTGGGCTCCTCGTGGGTGAATTGGGACTGGCACTCCTCTCCCTGGTAGGGTCAGGGATTGAATTCTGGGACCCAGAGGTCAGACCTGCAGACCAGATCCCGTGCACCCAGGTCTTGCACTGCCCGGGGCACAGAAGGGATATACGTGATCAGCCTACCGAGGTGTGTGTGCCTTCAGGGGCAGATCCACAAGGGGGCGGTGTGCCCAGCCCAGGTGGCATTCCTGTGCAAGGAACCTCCCCGCCGGCATCACAGCCAGGGGAGGCCCGGTGGGATGAGGTCCTGCCTGCTGGCAGAGGCCCAGGAGTAGCTGTGGAGTTGGGGAGAGTGGAAAGAAGTGAGGCCCGCACCTGACTGCGGGTCTCAGACAGCCCCACCCCTACCCGCAGACTTTCTGGCTGAGCCATGCCACTCCAGCCCCTCCCTGACAGCTTTGCCTGGAAGCAGAGAACAGAACTTTGACCCCTGCTAACAGCATTGGTGGTGCCTGAGGGCAGGCTTACCCAACCCAGCTCTGCCCAGATTCACTCCTAGACCAGCCCTCACTGAGGGGGAGAAAAGGACACACCTGGAAGTCCCAGGGCCCCACCGACCACCTGAGGCACTAGAGTGCCTCTCTAGAGGAACAAGAGCTGGTTACAGGACCCTAAAACAACAGTGTAGCCTGCTTCTTCCAGCAAGCGCCCCCTACTGACAGGGAGGACATTCTGTGCACCCTTTTCATGGCACCTACTGACTCATTATACAGGGTGTGGTCGAATCTCACCCACAGACACCACCTACAAGCTCAGGGACAAAACAGGGTGTGTCATTATCCAAACAAAAACCTAAAGGTAAGAGGCAACAATTAATCTAGATGGGAAGAAATCAGCGAAGGAACTCTGGAAATATGAAGATTCAAACGGAAAGCATGCCCCCAAAGAGGAACACCAGACCCTTAGAAATAGACATCAACCAAAATCAGACCACTAAAATGACAGAAGAATAATTTCAAGCATGGATCTTAAGAAAAATTCAACAACTTGCAAGAAAAACTAGATAACCAACACAAAGAAAACACAAAAAGTTTCCAGGAACTGGAAGAAAAATTCACTAAAAAAATTGAAATAATAAAGGAAAATCAAACCGAACTCCTGCAAATGAAGAATCAATTCAGGGAACTACAAAACACAGTAGAAAGCCTCAAGAACAGGGTAGATCAAACAGAAGAAAGAATCTCAGAGATTAAAGATAACACCTTCCAATTAAACAAATCAGTCACAGAAATAGAGCAGAGAAACAAGAGAAAAGAGCAAAGCCTACAAGAGATGTAGGATTATGTGAAGAAACCTAAATGTGAGAGTCATAGCATTACCAGAAGGGGAAGAAGAAAACACCCAAGGGTTGGACAAGCTACTTGAAGATATAATAGAGGAAAATTTCCCAGGCCTTGCCAAAAATCTCAATATACAAGTTCAAGAATCTAAAAGGACCCCTGGGAGAGTCAATGCGAACAGGAAAACATCATGACATGTAATCATAAGACTGACCAAAATAAAAAGGCCCTTCTAAGAGCTGTACAATGAAAGAAGCAAGTAACATACAAAGGAAAGCCAATCTGAATTTAACACCAGACTTCTCAACTTTATAAGCAAGAAGAGACTGGGGCCCCATTCTCACTCTTCTGAAACAGAATAATGCCCAGCCTCGAATCTTATTACCTGCAAAACTAAGTTTTGCATACGAAGGAGAAATCAAGACATTCTCATATAAGCAAAGACTAAGAGAATTCACCAAGAGAAGACCAGCCCTTCAAGTACTCAAAACAGTGTTACCCATGGATCAGCACAATAAAGACTAATGAAAGTAAATCTACTCAACAGCTAAAGATCAAAGCCCAGATACCACAATGGCTCAAGTGAGAAAACAAAGCAACAAAGTTCAACCCAACATAATGAACAGAAATCTGCCCCACCTATCAGTTATCTCAATAAATGTGAATGGCTTGAACTCCCCACTCAAGAGACATAGGCTGGCTGAATGGATTAAAAAAACACAAGCCAAGTATCTGCTACCTTCAGGAAACAGATCTAACCTGCAAAGATGCAGTTAGACTAAAGGTAAAGGGGTGGAGAACAGTATTTCAAGCAAACAGAAGCCAAAAGAAAGCTGGCGTGGTGGTGCTGATTACAGATAACTTAGTCTTTAAATCAATAAAAGTAAAAAAGACAAAGAAGGTCACTATATAATGGTGAAGGGTACAGTTCAACAAGAAGACATAACAATTCTAAATATATATGCACCCAACCTTGGTGTACCCAGATTCATAAAGTAAACTCTATTTGATCTAAACAAATGGATAAACAACAATAGCATAATAGTCGGAGACTTTAACACCTCACTGATAGCACAGGACAGATCCTCCAAACAGAAAATCAACAAAGAAATAATGGACTTAAACAGAACTCTAGAACAAATGGGCCTGACTGACATTTACAGGATATTCTACCCAAAACCCACTGAATATATGTTTTTCTCATAAGCTCATGGGTCATTCTCTATATTGACCATATCCTAGGACACAAAGCATGTTTCAAAAAATTTAAAAAAATAGAAATTAGGTCGGGTGTGGTGGCTCATGCCTGTAATCCTAGCACTGTGGGAGGCCGAGGTGGGCAGATTGCTTGAGCTCAGGAGTTTGAAACCAGCTTGAGCAAGAGTGAGACCCCGTCTCTACTATAAATAGAAAGAAATTAATTGGACAACTAATATATATAGAAAAAATTAGCCGGTTGTGGTGGCGCATGACTGTAGTCCCAGCTATCCGGGAGGGTGAGGCAGGAGGATTGCTTGAGCCCAGGAGTTTGAGGATGCTGTAAGCTAGGCTGATGCCACGGCACTCACTCTAGCCTGGGCAACATAGTGAGACCCTGTCTCAAAAAAAAAAAAAAATAGAAATTATACCATGTATCTTTTCAGGCCACAGTGGAATAAATGTAGAAATCAACCCTAACAGGAACTCTCATTTCTACACAAAGTCATGGAAACTAAACAACATTCTGCTGAATGATCACTTAATAAATGAGGGAATCAAGATGGAAATCAAAAGATTCTTTGAACTAAATGACAAAGGAGACACAAGTTATCAAAACCCGTGGGACACAGCTAACGCAGTCCTGGGAGGAAAGTTTATTTCCATAAATGCCTATATCCAAAGGTCAAAAAGAGCACAAATAGACAACCTAATGAATCTTCTCAAAGAGCTGGAAAAAGAAGAACAGACCTACTCCAAACCCTGCAGAAGAAGTGAAATCATTAAGATCAAATCAGAACTAAACGAAATGGACAACGGTGAAACCATACGGGAGAATAATAAAACAAAAAGTTGGTTCTTTGAAAAAATAAACAAAATTGACACACCATTGGCTAGACTAATGAAAAGCAGAAAAGAAAAATCTCTAATAATCTCCATCAGGAACAATAAAGGAGAAATTACAACTGATGCCAGGGAGATACAAGATATAATTTATGAATACTACAATAACCTCTATGCACACAAACTGGAAAATATGGAGGAAATGGACAATTTCTTAGAAACACACAGCCTCCCTAGGCTCAACCAGGAAGAAATAGAATTCCTCAACACACCAATATCAACTACTGAAATTGAAACAGCAATAAAAAACCTTCCTAAAAAGAAAAGTCCTGGACAAGATGGTTTCACACTCAAATTTTACCACACTTAAAAAGAAAAACTGGTGCCTATCCTGCAGAAATTATTCCACAACATCGAGAAGGATGGAATTCTCCCCAACACATTTTATGAAGCGAACATAACCCTGATACCAAAACCAGGAAAGGATGCAACAAAAAAAGAAAACTACAGACCAATATCCCTTATGAATGTAGATGCAAAAATTCTCAACAAAATCCAAGCAGTCGAATCCAGGTGCTTGTCAAGAAAATAATCCATCACAACCAAGTGGACTTCATCCCAGGGATGCGAGGATGGTTCAACATATGTAAATCTATAAATGTAATTCACCATATAAACAGAAGCAAAAACAAAGAACATATGATCCTCTCAATAGATGCAAAGAAAGCATTTGATAAAATTCAACACCCTTTTATAAGACCACTCAACAAAATAGGCATAGACGGGGCTTACCTAAAAATGACACAAGCCATATATGGCAAACCTACAGCGAATATCATACTGAATGGGGAAAAATTGAAAGCATTCCCACTTAGAACTGGAACAAGACAAGGTTGCCCACTATCTCCACTTCTATTCAACATAGTGCTGGAAGTCCTCGCTACAGCAATCAGACAAGAGAACAGAATTAAGGGCATCCAAATGGGAGCAGAAGAGATCAAACTCTCACTCTTTGCTAATGACATGATATTATACCTAGAAAACCCCAAGGATTCACCCATGAGACTCCTTGATCTGATAAATGAATTTGGTAAAGTCTCAGGATACAGAATCAATACACAGAAATCAGAGGCATTCATATATGCCAACAACAGTACAAGTGAGAACCAAATCAAAGACTCAATTCCCTTCAAAATAGCAACAAAGAATATAAAGTACCTAGGAATATATTTAACTAAGGAGATAAAAGACCTCTACAAGGAGAACTATAAAATACTTAAGAAGGAAATAGCACAGGATGTAAACAGGTAGAAGAATATACCATGATCATGGGTTGGCAGAATCAACATTGTTAAAATGTCTATACTACCCAAAGTGACCTACAGAGTCAATGCAATCCCTATCAAAATACAATCATCATTTTTCACAGATATAGAAAAAATAATTTTACACTTTGTATGGAACCAGAGAAGACCCTGTATAGCAAAATCAATCCTAGACAATAAAAACAAAATAGGAGGTATCAATTTACCAGACTTCAAACTATACAAGGCTATATTCATTAAAACAGCTTGGGACTGGCACAAGAACAGGGACATTGACCAGTGGAACAGAACAGAGTACCCAGATATAAAACCATCCTCATATAGCCAACTAATCTTCGATATAGCCAACTAATCAAAGACAAAAACATACACTCGGGAAAAGAATCCTTATTCAATAAATGGTGCTGGGAAAACTGGATAGACACATGTAGAAGACTGAAACAGGACCCACACCTTTCACCTCTCATGAAAATCAACTCGCGCTGGGTAACAGTCTTGAACATTAGGTGTGAAACTATTAGAATTCTAGAGGAAAATGTTGGAAGTACTCTTCTAGACATTGGCCTAGGCAAAGAATTTATGAAGAAGATCCCAAAGGCAATCACAGCAGCAACAAAAATAAATAAATGGGACCTAATCAAATTAAAAAACTTCTGCACAGCCAAAGAAACTGTCAAGAGAGCTAACAGACAACCCACAGAATGGGAGAAAATTTTCGCAAGCTACACATCCGATAAAGGGCTGAAAACTAGAATCTATTTAGAACTCAGGAAAATCAGCAAGAAAAAAATTAAATAACCTTATCAAAAAGTGGGCAAAGAACATGAACAGAAATTTTTCAAAAGAAGACAGAATAATGGCCAACAAACATATGAAAAAATACTCAACATGTCTAATCATCAGGGAAATGCAAATCAAAACTGCAATGAGATATCATTTATCTCCAGTGAGAATGGCCTTTATCAAAAAGTCCCCAAACAATAAATGTTGGCATGGATGCAGAAATTCTCTTCTACCATGGTGTAGAGATAGCAGATAATGTTTGAAATTGCTTTTTAAGAAGAGAAAAACCACCAACATTATTTTAAAATATGGAGACAGATACTAGGGCAAACAGATAACTAGTTGGGGATAGTAACCATGAGGAGTCACAGGGAGCGAGAAGAGGATGGCCAGAAGACTGGTGGTTTCCATTATAAGCCTTTCTGTACTATTTGAAGTTTTTTTTTTAAAACAGCTTTATTAAGATGTAATTCACATACAGTATAGTTCAGCCAAAATGTACCATCCAATGGTGTTGAGTATCTTCACAGAGCTGTGCAGCCATCCCCATACATCCCCCGCATCCTAAATCTAGAACATTCCATCCCCCCTCCAAAAGAAACACATTGGTAGTTACTCCCTATTCTCTGCCTCTCCCCTTTCCCCTGTCCCCAATCCCTGCAAGCTCAAAGCAACCAATAATCTGCTTTCTGCCTCTATAGATTTGCCTATTCTGGAAATTTCATATAAATGGAATCATACAACATGTGTGTGTTTGGGGGGAAGATTCTTTCTTTTTTATTCTTTTTTAGAAATGGGGCCTGGCTCTGTCACCTAGGCTAGAGTACAGTGGTGTAATCACAGTTCACTGTAACCTCTAATTCTTGAGCTCAAGCAATTCTGCCTCAGCCTCTTGAGTAGCTGGGAATACAGGCATGTACCACCATGCCTGGCTGATTTTTCTATATTTTGTAGAGATGGGGTCTCACTATGTTGCTCAGGCTGGTCTTGAACTCCTGGCCTCAAGTGATCCCCATGCCTTGGCCTCCCAAAGTGTTGGAATTATAGGCATAAGCTACTTCATCTGGTCTCCTTTTTCCTTTCCTTTTCCTCTTTTTAGTATGCGGTATCCTCCTGAGTAGCTGGGTTATAGGAATGGGCCACCCCACCCACCTCTAGCTTCTTTCACTTGGCATAATGTGTTCGAGGCTTATCCATGTTGTAGCATGTGTTAGAATTTCATTCCTTTTTAAGGCTGAGTAATACTCCATTGTATGGATATACCACATTTATACATCAGTTCATGGAGATTTGGGTTGTTTTCACCTTTTGGCTATTGCGAACATGCTACTGTGGAATATTCGTGTACAAGTTTTTGTGTGGACATATGTTTTCCTTTCTCTTGAGTATTCGAGTTTTCAATCTATGCTTGTGTCTGGGTGTGGTGGCTCACACCTGTAGTCCCAGCTTTGGGAGGCTGAGGAGGGAAAATAGCTTGAGCCCAAGAGTTCGAGGCTGCAGTGGGCTATGATCACACTCAGGGTTTTCCAGCCTGGGCCACAGAGTGAGACCCTGTCTCTAAAAAACAAATTTAAAAAACTGTACTTTTATTCCTTTGAAAATATTTTAATTAAAAAGTTAGAAATATTTTAATTGAAATTAGAATGTTAATGGTATTTAGGTGATGAGACTGAGCAAATTCTATTCTCTGGCTTGATCATATTACCTTTAAAATCTGAAAAACATTTAAGATAAAAAATAATGCACTGTTGAATTTTCATAACACCAGTTTAAGCTATTCTGCCATTTGAGAAAGCAGAAACTTAGACTATGCTTACAGGTATTTGTTGACATTTTGCTGTCTTGAAAATATCATCAACCTTCAGCAAATTTATAATTGTCTTGGGTCTTCTATGCTAGGGCAAGTAAAAAGCTATGCCCTATGTTAGAAAAAAGTAAGAAACAATGCAACATTCTTTATTTAGAAATAAAAACAAATTAAGATGAGAATACACCCACAACCTTCGTAGAAAACCATAGACTTGAGTCAGCTTACGTTTTGTTTTATAAACCTCACTAGTGATCCCTTGTTAGAGTTGGCAATTCAAATGTCTGCTTCCATGATACCTGCAGTGCTTTTAAAAAATATTTCCTTGGACTTATCTCCATAGAACCAGAAAAATTCAACATCGTATTTAGCTGCAACATGATCTTGTAATCATATAAACACGTTGATATGAAACACTAACATCATTCTAAACTACAGATACTAATGACTTCCACTGGGAGAAGGGTCCGAAAAGAAACAGTACAGTTCCCCCAAGAAGGGCTTCTAGAGCACATACCTGGTATTCTTGATTTCTCTCCTGCTTCTCGATTGCTTGAAAGAGCTCTTCACACACATTTGGAATAATGCCCTTGTTGGCACCAAACCCAATCATAGAATAGCTTTTCCCAGAGCCAGTTTGGCCATAGGCCAGGAGGGTAGCATTGTAGCCTTGCCAGGCGCTGTCCAGAATCCCCCTGCCAAGATCGTGGAAGACATCTCTCTGGAAAGAAGATCCACAGGTGCCATGTTCAGCACAGGCCAGTGGCATGTACAGTTGCGCTTTCTTACTTTTCTCAGAACTCTTAAAGTCTAATATTCTGGTTTCGATAAGTTCCACCTTCATATCACATGACCTACTTGAAACACAACTTAGATGCTGGCTTAGAAACAGTGGGGTAAAACTGGAAACCACAAGAGGGTTTGTCAATATGGAAAATACTCATCATTTACATTCATAGATCCTATTACCAGATATATTTTGAACTGGCTAGTATCCACCAATAGTGAATTTGCGTATTTTACAGCCCTGCCAGAAACATGGGCTAGGTCTTTAAAAATAAGCAACTAGGCAAAAAAATTATTGGCATCAAGGTACAGAGACCAAAGTGTTTTCTACTTCTTTATTCCTTAACCCAAATAATAGCATCACAAAATTCCCACACTGAGTTTAGCCCTCTGCTGGTGAGCGCTCTTTTTTTCACAAGGCCTAGTGGTTCTGAAGCATTTCTTCAACGCACACACACACACGCGCACACACACATATATGTGCCTCATCTTTTTTTTTTTTTTTTTTTAAGTGGAAGAGAGCGATGCTTATGTCTACAGTTGCTTGAAGGGGAGGGCATGTGACCTGGCCCTTTTTATTATCAGTGTCATGGATATGGCCAGCAATAATTTGTTATTTTTTTGTTGTTTGGAGATAGGGTCTCAGTCTGTTGTCTGGGCTGGAGTGCAGTGGTGTGATCATAACTCACAGCAACCTCAAACTCTTGGGCTCCTGTGATCCTTCTGCCTCAGCCTCCCAAGTAGCTGGGACTATAGGCATGCACCACCACACCCAGATAATTTTACTATTTTTTGAGAGATGGGGTCTGGCCATGTTGCTCAGACTGGTCTTGAACCTCAAACAATGCTCCGGCCTTGGCCTCCCAAAGTGCTGGGATTATAGGTGTGAGCCACCACGCCCTTCATAGTTCTCTTATTTGATACTGTTTCCAAGGGTATATTCCTTTCTACTCTCTAAGAGCAATAATAAAACAGTAAGTAAACATTGCATGCTCTATTTGGTAGCAATATATACATTTGTACAGTTTTTATTTCTGGGAAAGTTGCACATACCAATTTCATGTGATTTACATAGGCACAACATGTGGCATATGACCAATGGCTTCCCTGAACACTGTGCCCGCACTTTTACCAGAAAGATGTATCTACATGATGGACATCTACTCCACCTAGGACTTATTAGCTGAACCTGAAGAGTGTTCATCAACTTAGTAAAGTAACTAGTTTTACTGTCTTGTCGTCAAAGCGCTATTTGAGATTTGGGAAAATGGCTTTTCTTTTGTCCTTAATTTTTATGGATTGAAAACTTCAAACAGGTAATACAGAATTTTATTAAATAAGTGAAATCATAGGTAGATAATAGAATCATTTGATAAATTTTGTTAGCTGTACAGTTTTTCTCTACAGCTTTCCATTTTCATATCTTTTGGGTATCAGTTATTTGGATATTAGATAAGCCAGGAAATCATAGAACTATATTTCTGATTTCTTCCTACCCACCATCCTAAAATCAAATATAGGAAACATTATCTTACACTATCGCACATGAAAACAGTAATATGCAGTGTCTTAATGGGTGGTCAACAAACATTCATTTTGGGATGGGAGGAAAAATTGTTGACAAAGAAGAGTCTTCATAGCATTTCTTGCAGTCTTTTGAAACTATCTTCATTGAAGTAAACTCAATATTCATAAATGCACTTATTTTAAGTGTATATTTTCGTGAGTTTTGACACACTCATCACATTCAGCTATGTGACCACCACTATAATCAAGACATTTTTGTTTCATTTTAATTACTTCAAAAACTTCCCTTGTGCAACTTTGCAGTCAGGTGCCTCCTTCTCACCTTCAGCCACTACTGATTTGCTTTCCATAATGACGGGTGTGGTTTTTTCTAGAATTCAAGTGGAGTTGTACAGTCTTGTGTATGTGATATCTTTCATTTAGTACAATGCTTTTGAGATTCATCCATGCAGTTGCATGTAATCAGGAGTTCCTTTTTATTGCTGAATCATAGTTTATTTTATAAATACAGAGTATCATTTTATTATCCATTCACCAGTTGATGGACATTTGAATTGTTTTCAATTTGAGAACTATTATATATGAAGTTGCTATGAACATTTGCATTCAGGTATTTGTGAGGACAGCTATTTTTATTTCTCTTGGAATTGCTGGATCGTATGGTTAAGTGCATGCTTCAATATGGAAACTGCCTGTTTTCCAAAATGACTGAACCATTTTGCACTGCCATGAGCACCGTATGAGAGTTCTAGTTTCTTCCCATGTGTGTCAACATTTGCTATTGTCAGTTTTTAATTTTTGTCATTGTCAGGGATGCATAGTATTATCTCATAATGGTATTATTTTATACATTTCCTAATGACTAATGAAGTTAAACATTTTTCATTGATTTTAGCTAATTTATACATCTTTGGTGAAACCTCTGATCAAATCTTTCCATTTAAAACAATTGACTATTTTTTCTCTTTTTAAATAAAGTAAAAATTTATTATATATTTTGGATCCTTTATCAGACATATGTTTTACAAATATTTTATTTCTTGGTTTGCCTTTTCATTTTATTACTGGTATCTTTCACAGAACAAAAATTGTTTTTTTTTTTAACAAAACTTTATCAAACATTTTCTTTTATGGTTTATACTTTTTGTGTCCTAAGACATCTTTGCCGAATCTGAGATCACAACATTTTCTTCCTTTCTTTTAGAGGTTTTATAATTTTAGCTCTAACAGTTAGGTATATAATCCATTTTAAGTTAATTTTTAATGTAATGTAAGGAAAGGATCAAGGTTTTCATATGAATATCCAACATCTTTAGCATCATTTGTTGAAAAGATTTTCATTTGAAAGTTTATTAGTTTCCTAGGGCTGCCATCACAAATTACAACGAACTGGGTGGCTAAAAACAACAGGCTTCACCTGCCAAGATCCTATTTACAAATAAGGTCAAATTCTGAGCTATGGTGGACATGAATTTTGGGGGGCCTATAGGTGGACATGAATTTTGGGGGGCCACTATCCAACCCATTATAGCATCTTTGTAGAAAATCAGTTGACAATGTGTGAGGATCCATTTCTGGACACTCTATTCTATTCTATTGATTTATATGTCTGTCTCTAAAGGAATACCACATTATCCAGATTACTTTAGCTTTACAGTGGGTTTTAAGTTCTCCAACTTTATTCTCTTTCAAAATAATTTTGGCTATTCTAAGTTCTTTACAATTTCATGCACATTATTGAAATGGTGTATCAATTTCTACAAAACATCCCGGCTGGGATTTTGTTTGGTATTGCTTTGAATCTGTTGATCAGTTTGACTTCGTAATAATATTGCTCTGATTTATTAAGTTTTCCTTTCACAAATGGTTTATAATATTCAGTGTATAGTTTTTGCACACATTTTGCTAAATTGATCCTTAAAGTAGTTCATGTTTTTGATGCTATTGTAAATATTTTAAAATATTTTAAAATTTCTATTTCTAGCTCATTGTTAATGTAGAGAAATACTATTGATTTTTATATATTGACATTTTTGAACACACTTATTAACTGTAGTAACTTTTTTTGGTTACTACAATCCAAATTCCTTAGGATTTTCTATTTTAATTTTTTTTTAGCAGTGAGGTCTATGTCCAGGCCAGAGTGCAGTGGCTATCCATAGGTGTGGTCATAGCACACTGCAGCCTTGAACTGCTGGTCTCAAGTGATCTTTCTGCTTCAGTAGGATCTTTTTTATATAGATAATCATGTCATCTGCAATAGTTTTGCTGCTTCTTTTCCAATCTGCATATCTTATTTCCTATTAATCGCCTATTGCCCTGGCTAGGACCTATAGTAAATGCTACACAGAAACACTGGGAATAGACATCTTGAACTTGTTCCCAATCTTAGGAAGAACCACTGTTTAACCATCAAATGTGATGGAATGTATGTTTTTGAAGGAAGTTCCAATTCTAGAAGCTTCCTCTTATTTCAAGTTTGCTGAGAGTTTTATCTCAATTGGGTGCTGTGTTTTGTCAAATGCTTGTTCTGCATCTGATCATATATTTTTTTCCTTCTGTGTTCTGTTCATATGATGAATTCCATTGAATTTCAAACATTAAACCAACCTCACATTCTATTACTATTCACATACTATTACTATTCACATATTATTACTATTCACATACTATTACTATGAATAATAATAGTAACATACTAAGCCCCACTTGATATTATTGGATTCCATTTGCTGAAATTTTGTTAATAATTTTTGTGTTTATGTTCATGAAGGTCTATAACATTTTTGTAATATCTTGGTGTCATACTGGCCTCATAAGATGAGATGGAAAGTGTTTCCTCTTCTTCTGTCATCTGCAAGATGTTGGGTTTTTTTTATAGAATTCTCACCATTTCTTTCTTTGGTAGACTTCACTAGCAGAGACATCTAGGCCTACAGTTTTCTTTGTGAGGTTTTTAAATTACAAATCCAATTTCTTTAATAGATACAGGGCTACTTGAGTTATTTGAGTGAACTTCATTAGCTTATGTCCATTTCATCTATGTTGTTGAATATATTGGCATTAAATTGTTCATAATATTTATTTATCATTCTTTTAATGTCTGTAGGATCTGCAGCAATGTCCCTCTTTCATTTCTGATCTTCCTTGGTACTATGTATCTTTTTTCCTTGATCAGAAATCTTGGCTAGAGGTTTATCAATTTTAGTGATCTTTTCAAAGGACCAGTTTTTAGTTTCACTGATTTTTCTCTGTTGTTTTACTGTTTTATATTTCATTAGTTACTTTTTCTTTTTTCTTCCTATGTTTGTTTTGTGTTTCATTTGCTCTTCTTTTTCTAAATTCTTCGGTGGAAGCTTAGAATATTGATTTGAGATTGTTCTTCTCTGATAAAAACTGTAATGCTATAAAATTTTAAAGTTCAGTTATTAGCTGCATACCCAATTAGGCTGATTATGTCTTCTTAATGAATTGATTCCTTTATCATTATGTAATATTCTTTGTGCCAAAGCCTATTCCGTGTGATGTATTTTGTAAATTTTTTCTCTTTTTTTCTTTTTTAATAGAGTCGGGGTCTGGCTCTTGCTCAGGTTGGTCTCAAACTCCTGAGCTCAAGCAACCTTCCCACCTCGGCCTCCCAGAGTGCTAGGATTACAAGCATGAGCCATCATGCCTGGCCTCCACGTGATATAAATGTAGTTTCTCTAGTTTTCTATTTCTTAGCGTGTGCAAGATATCTATTTATTTTTAAACCATTTTTTAATCTAATATGTTTTTTTCTATCTAAACTGACAATATTTGCCTTTTAATGGGCATGTTCAGACCATTTATATTTAATGTAGTAATTGATATGGTTGGCACTAAATCTACTATCTTGCTATGTGTATTCTACTTATCCCATCTCTTCTTTGTTTCTTTTCTTGCCATGCTGGGGATTGGGAATGTTTCCTAATTCCACTTCTTTACAGTTGACTTATCAGTTAGTTATACTTATTTTGTTTATTTATTTATTTTTGATTGCTGTGGGGCAGCTGTTCTTTAAGTGCATTCTAGGGTTCCTGAGATCCTTTTGGGGGGTTTGTAAAGTGAGAACTACTTCTGTGATAATATTAATGTTTGCCTTTTTTCATTCTCGTTCTCTCATGAGTAGAGCTGGCCAGGGTCTACATGACACGTGATTTTGTGAGAGATTATACATAAGGCAGAGAATTCAGCCGTCGTTTATAAAGCCAGACAAGACAGAGATTTGGAAATATGTAAAACAATGCATTCTCTTCAGTATTGTCTTGGATAAGAAAATCTTTTTTTTCACAAAAATGTTATATAAATTAGTAATAGACATTTAATATGCTTTAATATATATTTAAAATTCCTCAGTTTATTAGTATCCTAATAAACTGACTGCAGTAACAGAGTACCACAAATTGTATGGCTTAAAACAACAGAAATTTATTCTCTCAAGTTTCGGAGGCTATTAGTCTGAAATACAGGTGTTGGCAGAGTGGTTCCTTCTGTAGGTTCTCAGGGAAAATCTGTTTCATGCCTCTCTTGTGGCTTTTGGTAGCTGCTGGCAATCTTTGGCATTCCTCGACTTTGCAACTGCATCACTCTGATCTCTGCCTTCACGTGGTGCTCTACTTATATGTCTCTGTGTCACTTAGTTCTCCTTTTAAGGACATCAGTCACATTGGATTATAGGCCCACCACATGCCAGTATGTTCTCACTTTAACTACTTACATGTGCAATGACACTCTTTACAAATAAGGTCACGTTCTGAGGTTCTAGGAAGGATATGAATTTGGGTGAACAACATTCAACACAATACACTCTGTTCTAATTCCTAACACAGTAAATAATGGTAGATATAACCCATATAAATAAAAGCTCTTTTGGGGTCGTTGAGCATTTAAAAATTTTATAAAGAAGTCCTGGACCAAAAAGATTGAGAACCTATGTTCTATGGTTACAATGTATTTCTTTAATTTAAAATAGTTTATCTCAAATGATATTATATCATTTTACATAGAGTATAAAACTTTAATTTTTTTCTACAATCCACACACCATAATATAGTGTAAGACTTTAAAAAAATATACTTCCATTACCTCTCTCTCTCTCTCTTTTTTTTGTGTTGTTATATTTTATTTCTATATGCTCTAAACACCAAAAGACATTATTTCTGCTTTGATAATCAAGGACATTTTAAAGAGATTCAAAATTAGAAAAATATCATTTTTGTTTGGTTTGAAATTCTAGGTTGAGAATTTCTTTCAGTGTTTACAGATATCTCTCTATTGTCTTATGGTCTGCATTGTTCTGACAATATATCTGCTGTTGTTGTTCCTCAGTCTTCTCTCTCGTTTTTAAGATTTTATCACTGGTTTACAGCTAATTTTCTTCCTTTTAATAGAATTAGGGCATACAAGTTGAATTCTGTTACATGATATATTGTATAGTGGTGAAGCTTGGGCTCTTGTACCCATCACCTGCACAGGCACCTTGTACCCCATAGGTGACTTTTCAGCCCTCACCCCCCACCACCTTCCCTTGCTTTGAGTTTCCAATGTAGCAATTTAATTAAAATGCTTACTTACTGCAATTTTCCTCATCTTTTTTGTATTTTTTGAGACAGTTTCACTCTCTTGCCTGGGCTACAGTGCTGTGGCGTCAGCCTAGCTCACAGCAACCTCAAACTCCTGGGCTCAAGTGATCCTCCTGCTGTAGCCTCCAGAATAGCTGGGACTACAGGCATGTGCCACCATGCCTGGCTAATTTTTTCTATATATTTTTAGTTGGCCAATTAATTTCTTTCTACTTTTAGTAGAGACAGGGTCTCGCTCTTGCTCAGGCTGGTTTCAAACTCCTGACCTTGAGTGATCCTCCCACCTTGGCCTCCCAGAGTGCTAGGATTACAGGCGTGAGCCACCATGCCTAGCCAATTTTCCTCATCTTCATCTGTTACATTATCCTTTACTTTTTACTCATTAAGCTTCTTGGATATGTGTCTAGTATCCACCAAATTTGGAAAAATTTTAGCCATCATTTCTTCATGTATTTTATGCCCCTTCTTACTCTTCCTGTGACTTAATTACATGTATGCTTGAGATTGTTCCACAGGTCACTGAGGCTCTGTTCATAATCTCCAACTTTTTCTTACTGTTCTTCTATTCTGCCTACTTGTTCCACACTCGGCCTAAGCACCATAGCCTTTATAAAATCACTCCCCAAATACCATCTGTCCAGACTGAAATGTCTGCCTCTCCTTTGTACCTACCTTATTGTATCCCATACATATTCTTATCATAGAACATTTAACATTTGAATGAGCTTATTTGCTTGTCTTCCCAAACCAAATTGAAAGCAACTTTAAGGCAGAACAGTGCATGTGATAAATGTTCAGTAAAACGGAAGTTCTCAAATGCTGAGTGCCTAACAAGATTTTCTTATTTTGCTTAGCTCAAAGAGGCAAAAAAAAAAAAAAAAAAAAATTGACTGCCATTCTTTTTTAAAGTATGACAATACATTGGCAAGTCAACTGATTTGAGTGTCTAAAAATTACTTAAGCAATAGCTGCATTTCTTTTGACCTTGTGTTCAGCATGAAAAAAGAATAAATGTAAAATCAGACTCATATTAATCATATATTTATGCTTGCATAAAAAATTATTGTACCATTATACTGTGAACATGTCATCTAACAAAAGCAAAACAAAACCCCCAAAAATCTGGTATTGAAATTGTGTTTTAAAACAATTTACCTGGCCTGCAAATTTACTACTAGGATCAGCAGAAATAAGGACACCGTCTTTATCCTTTTCAAATCCACTGTGAGACCAATATGCCAGGTCAAATGTAAATGTCTTCACAAGTTCTGGATTCTTAGGGTCCTGTATAGTGGTGGTGGTTCTGGAATGCATGGAAATCACACATTTGCTCCCAGAATTCTTCTCTCTCTATAGTCAAATTACAAATTCAGAGTCAATCATTACAGTTTTTCTTTGTTATTTGAGTTGTTTTGCATGTCTTTATATGTAACAAATTAAGCCAGGAACTTACCACTCCAGTTTGTTCTCTAATTGTTGTTACTCTTAGCAGCTGTTACAAGTTGTCCTTCCTACAGTCCTCAGAATGTGTGAAAGCCTCATCTCTAGTCGTATTAATTTTCTGAGAATAGCTGTCTGTCTAACACACAACTATGCTAATAGCAATAACTACAGCAGTGGAGAGATTGACTTTCAGCATAACTATCCTATTCTCCAGTGAAACTAGTGAAAAATTATCAATGAGCATAAAAAACCATTTAAAACCTCTGGAAATTGTCCTGAGGGCAAACATCAAGAAACACCTATTCAAGAAAATACACCAAAAATTGTTAATAAAAGGGAGAACCCATGGTATTTGAAGCAAGACTATTCCCTTTCTATCCACTGCCAGCTCAGCAAGGTGGAGACTACTCCAGACTGTTAGAGCCAGTAACAAAGGGCGCCTTCCCCGCTCAGATCCCAGTTGCACAGCTTTCTTCCCGGGAAGGCCAGGACATCAGCATTTCTCATTCTGCCTCCATCCACTCATTGCTGAGGCTAAGTCCTAGGTTAGTGGGGGATGGTGGTCCTTCTTCCACCCAGCTCCCATTCATGGGATAGAGACTCTACTTTGGTTGGTTGCGTCCTGACCACCCTTGCTCCGGTCCCGAGATGCTGATTCCATACCAGGAGAGACAAGCTCAGAGGACCTCAGGCTGCAGCTCTACCTGCACTGAGTGCTCAGCTCCTGCAGCAGGGATGTCACTCAAAAGAGCAGCTTGCTATTGTCCATGCATCCAATCCCAGAGTCTGGTTGAGAGATTTTTCTTGGGGGAATAAACAGGCCATAAAACCCATATTGCTCAACATCTCTTCCCAAAGGAACTGATTTTTCACTTGCAACAGAGCTTGGTTCGGGAAGTTCAAGCCTAAGGATGCTCTCAAGAACAGTTGAGGTGATGATGGGAAGAAAGTCAAGATACAGGTAAAGTTGTTTGCCCTCTAATTTGCAGGGGTAAACTGGAGGATAGGACAGCTGGAAGGTATCCTCCTGGGGTCAAAAATATCGAACACTGGTCTCAGAAACCAGTGTTTAGAGAAAATGGAGTTTGATTGGATTAGTTTATAAAGCAATTTATGCCCAGGGACACTGTTGAAAACAATAATCAGCCAGCAAATAGTGAAGTTTAACAGCTGGGCATGATCAAGGAAAGAGGAGGGGAGCCCAAACCACTGTTACCCAGGGTGACTGGCACATACCCAAAGCTGTGCCTCTCTAAGGAACAATGGAGGGAGGTGGGGGGTGATAGAATGGGGATAATAGACTTCACTAAAATAATCCCACCCATCACTAAATAAAAATGAAATAAAAACCAGGAAATAAAATTAAGCCACAGAGAGGAGGGAGGCAGTATTGTGGTGACTGCGTTCAAGTAACCCTTATTTTACTTAATAATGGCCCCAAAGTGCAAGAGTACTGTGTCCAGTTTATAAATTAAACTTTATCATAGGTCTGTATGTATAGGGAAAAATAGTGTACGTGGCTTTGGTACTATCCATGGTTTCCGGAATCCACTGGAGATCTTGGAATGTACCCCCTGTGGATAAAGGGAGACTATTGTACCTTTAAATAATCTCCTGAATCTATCTTCTTTCCTCCTTACCACCACTCTAGTCTAAGCTAACAAACTTTGGTGGTGAACTTTAATAAAATGTAATCTCTTTGTAAAGGAGCCGATAGGTTGTAAATACCTGTTTTAGTGCATACTCCTATGAAATCCTTTTTATTAGTTGCTTAAAACTTGTAGCTAGTTACTCTAGCAATATTAGAGGCCAGTGAAAAAAGACTCCTGGAATAACCACTTTCAGTGTTATTGAAGGGCAAGTTATAAAATGGCCTTATTTCTTCACTCTTTTTTTGGGGAGAGGGGAGCCAAAGCATTTAATTTACTGGTCACAAGTTAATTCTTTGACATTTTTCTATCAGTTGCTTAAGAAATTATGCCACTTTAGAAACCTTAAATGGTTGCTACACTTAATGTTATTTAGTTAAACACATAACTGAAGCTATCTAGTTATACAGCTGCCTGGCTGCTGAAATATTTTCCACACTATAAATGTAAAGGCACAGAACAGAACTGATACCAACTGGAAATAAACAAAACAAGAGGGCAAAAACAGTGAGTTGTCCAAGTGGGAAAGACAACTTCATGCAAGGTCATCATTACACTGTAGCCCATGCAAGAGCAGTTGGCCATTGTGTTTCACTCCATCTAGCATGTCCTTATCCAAATTTTACTGATCCTCTATAGTCATCTCAAATGCTTCTATCTAGATCTGGGAAGCCTTCAAGATCTAACCGGGCAGAATTAACTATACCTGATCTTTCTCTGGGTATATTATTTACCTTATAGCTATGATGGTAACTAGCTTACTCAATAAAAAATTATTTAGCAAATTATGTAAGACTGTATGCTGCTAGAGAAGGAAGAATTTTCTGTGTTCTCAGTATCTAGTACAGTGTTTGTAGTAGACAGTTAAAAGTTTGCTTAATGGGTCAACTGTTCAGAATTACCTTAAAATTTAACCAATGCATTGATAAAGTTACACAGCTGCTACACGGTCCAAGAATGAGTACAATTCATGTGTTATCCTAAAATGTTGTAGTAACACATTTTAATGAGCAGTGGTGTTTTAAAAAAGCTATATAAATAATTTATACATAAGTACATAAATTCACTTAAAATATATAAAGTTCATTTAAAACTGGCAATTGGTTTGCTTATGAGCTGCTTTTATGGGGGGAAAATATATTTATTAAAAACAGGTACCACATATCTATATGTACCAAATTGCATTGGTTTAAATAATTATTAACTTCACAGTACATTTCTCGGCAATTTTTTTATTGTGCTACTTGCGCAAAGGAATGAAATTGTTTACTGAATTATGTTTAGAGCTTTTAATTATTCATTTAACAAGTTCATATAAATAAGTTTAATATTCCATAAATGACAAGCAGCTTAAATACAAGTTTGATAACTATCATTAAAAAATTAATAAAATCAAAGTCCAATTTAACAAGGCAATGTGACATTTATCACTAACCTGACTAAAAGGCCGCACTCGTACTGCTACTTTCACACTGTCAATACTTGGCATAGGCATTTTCATCATTTTCTCATTATCCATATTGTTATTTTAGTAGAAAAATATGCAGAAAAAGCACACTGCTTATACTTCACATTAAAACATTAAAAGCGTAGCTAACAAAAGCAGCTTGTTTCTAGATGATCAATTATTGAGGGTCCATTCATTACACACTATCAATTACCTGTTATAAATTATTTTACAACACTTATTTATTGATGAATGTTACAGCCTACATCAAGTAGCATCACTTAATTGCGCAGTTGTACTGCAGAGAACAGGGTGTTTTTGTTTTTTCTTTTGCCACATCTACTCACACTCTCCCCATCCTCAATAATCTGTGCCTGAGGCCCTGTGATTACTTCTCAGTTGTAAAACCTGAATATTAAGGTATTTCTGTGATTCAGTAGCAAGCTCTTTCACAGCAATGTTATAATAAAATTTGTACAGACTTCTCATCCTATCAATATTAGGCACACACAAGGTGCGCTGAATATCCATAAAACAGATTTATTTTACATTTCCCTTCCTTCTCAAACCCATTTATGAGGTTGCTAGTGAGCAGTGAACCGGTCAATCTAACCTGGATAATTAGTCTCTAATAATTAAGAGACTTTAGAGATAAATACCTTTTAGGATTGCTGAACAAGAAATGCCAACGTTATAGTTAACGAATGCATTACTTGAAAAATTACTCATTTGAGGTAGATTACACAAATTTGTGAACTACATGTCCATAATTTAATTTCAACATAGCAACAGCCCAAAACAAAAAAAAACACATTTTATGATTAGAAATCTTAATCACAGAATGAAAGTGCATAAATTATAAAATGGCTACTTGAGAGAAAGAAAATGGGATCAATGCCTACTAGCATATAAAAATCATTATTAAGACAGAAATCCCCTTTCAAAAATCTAACAGACACAAACTACTGTGAAGTATACATTTTATTTAACATTGCAATAATAAGCCATATTTACATATTATATAAATGTATGAAGTCTTAATATAAAATAGAAAAAACTGCCTGGACTAAAAGAATCACACTCCATATGGAGTTACTTTACTTATTGAAGACCTCCTGTTTACAAAAATTTACAATAATTTATATAAATTATTTTCTTCCAAATTCTATGAGTTTTAATAATCCACACTATTCTGATGACTTTACAAATAGGTGTACATTAAAAACTTCAAAACAAAAATTACAGCATTTTTCTGCGCAAAACTTGCTTTGGAAAGGAAGATAGTTTCTTTCTGTTCCTTCCAAGAGCCTTTCCAGTTACTTCTGCAGTTTTTCTTGGTTTGCTCTTTACTGCATCAACTGGGCTTGCCAAGGGAGAAATCAGTTTAATTTCTATTGGAGGAGGTGACCAAGAACTTTCTTTTTCTATGTTTCTGAAAAAAGATATAATTAAGTAAGAAGAAACACAATACATTATAAAATATAACTGACTTTCCCACATTTCCCAAGAAACTTTAGGGATTACTTGGCTTAATGCCTTTATTTTATAAAAGAGGTAATGGTTTCGAGAGAAGTCAAACTTTAAGTCATATAAGCTAATGAGAGGCAGAGTTAAGATTTCACTTAAGGGAATTTTTCCTTTTTGATTTGGATATTTAAAAACAATAACTGTTGAATTTTCCTTTAAGTGTTCTGTATGTATTATTGTTGGATTATAAGGATGGGTCAAATACTAGCAGTCAGTACAGGGACGAAAGCCCAGCAGGCTCAGGCTACATATCAGAAATGGCAATTCTAAAAAACCAGCAATTATCAAATATGTATATAATTTCACAGACATGAGTTTTTCAAATATATACAAAGCCTATTCATATGTAAACAGTGATATTAATTATGGTCAACAGTGTCATTAAATCAATTTTTAAAATAAGGTAAAATGGATTCATTTGTACTTTTATCATATTCAACTATGCCTAAGCACAGCATGAACAAAAAATACTGTGTAACAAATATATACGAAATGGAGTAATTTTCCCATGAATGCAGTTTTATTACTAATAGTAAAATAATAGCAAAATTTCTAAGTATTTTTTTTTTATTAATAGTTACCTATCTTTACCAATAAAATGGTGAACCATCCCACTTCCTCTCCCATCCACTGCAAAAAGAGAAAGATCCATTGGGTACTCTAAACTGCCCCCACCCAACCATTCTTTAAAAAGGATGAATGGGCTTTCAAGCTATAGGGAGAAATCCACCTTCAGCAGTAAAATCTAACAGTGGTTGTAAATGTCTCTAAGAATTACCCTTTTCAATTGAGCTTAATTTCCCTTTTAAAATTAAGTCTTCTCAAATCTAATGTTGAGAAACAAATGGATAAAAACTATATAGAAAAGGTCATACCTGCTTGCTTCTTTTGTTTTTGCAGTCCTCATTCTTTTTGCTTTTTGCTTTCCCACAGTTTCTACTGATTTAGAATCATCTTCCTATGGGTTAAAATTTTAAAAGGATTTATCTTAAGTAATTAAACATTTAAGTCTAAATTAAAGGTTCTATCCTGAGAGAAGGCATACGACAGCCAAACACTGCTAATGAATTCAAACTAAGTCAGTCTGAAATGGACTCCTTTTCTTATACTTTTTAGTAAAAACTTTACTTATGTTGGACTGCTCTTAATTCCCCATTTTTACAATTCAGCTAATCTCCAAATTGTAGTCAGTTTTATTTTTGAATGTTTCTACTGTCCACTGCCCTTCTGTTCTCATTGTCTTTGTGCACACGCCATTCAAGGGTGGGGAACCTGAAGCCTTCTGATTTCAAGATTGTTCTTTTTTATGCACCAAAGGAAGCAAGGAAAGCTTAATCTTTTTTTGCTGCACCCCTTTTGTTCTGTAAAACTTGGATTCAGTTGAAAGGCAGCACTTAAGGACCTAGAAGGCCACATGTGGCCTTAAGGCTGCAGATTCTCCATTCCTTCGAGTTTGTGAACACTCTCCTCTATCCGCCATTGCCATGCTTCTGGGTCTTTGCATCTGCTGTTTTCTCTGCCAGGAATGCCTGTCTCCTCTACCTTCTGCCTATAGCGGTATTTGGGTATAAAGTATATATGAGGCCCTGGGCTAGAGTGCTGTGACATCAGCCTAGCTCACAGCAACCTCAAACTCCTGAGCTGAAGCGATCCTTCTGCCTCAGCCTTCTGAGTAGCTGGGACTACAGGCATGCGCCACTATGCCCGGCTAATTTTTTCTATATATTTTTAGTTGCCCAGATAATTTCTATTTTTAGTAAAGATGGGGTCTCACTCTTGCTCAGGCTGATCTCGAATTCCCGCCTTGGCCTCCCAGAGTGCTAGGATTACAGGTATGAGCCACCATGCCTGGCCTGGGTATAAATAATTCTTATCATGATGTGAAATAATCGTTTGTTTTTATTCAATTAAACTGTTAGTGCATAAAAGACAAGGAATTTGCCTGAATTATTTTTTTTTGCAAGCCTTTATCCTTGCATAGTAATTGACTCATGGCAGATAATTCAATAAATGTTTATAAATATACGGGACTCACAATCCCTGACCTGTTCTTATTTTAGGGTTATGTGCAATTAGGTGACAGAATCTGAAATACAGTCTTTCCAAGTGTGTTCTGTGAACACCACCCAGAGATTCAAAGACCTACATCTCAAATAAATTAATCCAGGTAATTCTGATGAATACTAGAATTTAAAACCTTTCCCCTAATAGATAATCTAAATTGTAACTGCCAGTAATATATCATCAGTAACATTCCACAGATCTTTCTGAAAGATAGGGCCATTCAAAGGTGTAGACAAGATAATTTTGAGCTTTTGGTATATATAAATGGTTATCTTTAAAGAAATTCATTTATGAAATATTTGCTTCAAAAAGTAAATAAAATTTAAAACTTAAATAAAATTCATTTTATTTAATAAAACATTTATTGAAATAAAAAGCATGTTTTAACAAACATACAAATAAAATCATGCATTCCTTACCAGTTCATCCACAAGCTTGGACGTACTAGATGTGTTTTTTTGCCTGGTCCTCAAAGCAGGAGGCGAGGAGACAAACTGAGAAGATGAATCTGTAACAAATTCTTTCAGCTGCGCAGGAGCCTCTATTTTTTTAGCTAAAGTTGAAAAAAACAAAACAAAACAAAACGCTGTACCAATATATTTATATACATATAAAAACGAAAACTTAGAAACCTAATTATCCATGTTAGGACAGAAATGAGAGGAAAAATCCCAACATCATTTGGGTAAACCAAATGTTTAGGAATATTTACTCTTTCACACTAAAAAGTGTGAACATTTTTCAAGCTAGAACTTGAAAGCAAGTACAAAACTGTATTAGTCCATTAGTTTTATTTATTTATTTTTTTTTTTTATTTTGTTATTGAGTAGTATTCCATTGTAGTCCATTAGTTTTAATCCTTACTGTTCTTCATTCTGCAGAGTTTAGAAAGCATTAATCTCATATATTATATAACCTGAGTTAGTCTGCAGCATAATTCCTACTATCCCAGAGACAATGTTTTTATTTACAAAGTAAATTTTTATTTTCAAAGACCAGACTCAACTCTTCATTCAACTTCTTTCATTCAACTACTTGTTTCAAGTAGTTCATTCTGAGCTACTTACTCCAGTCAAGGGAAACAACAGAAAAATTCATTTTACAAAAGGGAAAAGTAAACAGAAAAAGTAATAATATAGAAAAAAGGCTGAAGGGAAGATATTCCGTAGATAAATAAAAATGGTTTAATTAAGAATTGGTTTAGAATATGCAATTAATGCTGGGTGGTGGCTCACGCCTGTAATCCTAACAGGCATGGGAGGCCAAGGTGGGAGGATCACTTGAGGCCAGCCTGGGCAACATAAGGAGATCCTGTCTCTACAAAAAATGAAAAAAAATTAGCTGGGTGTGGTAGTAGGCACACGTAGTCCCAGTTACTTGGCAGACTGAGCTGGGAAGATTGCTTGGGTCCAGGAGTTCAAGGCTGCAGTGAGCTATGACACTATATTCCAGCCTGGGTGACAGAGCAAGACCCTGTCTCTAAAAGAGATTAAATTGCAACTATGGTACTTAACAAGCTGTGAGACCAAAGGTGAGTTACTTAAATCTCTCAGTTCAATAAACAGGATTAGTAATAGCACCTATCTCAAAGTGCTTTATGGATGTTTGCATGCACTATTATTTTAATAATATAATTTAGAAACCTTTTTGGCCAGGCACAGTGGCTCACGCCCGTAATCCTAGCACTCTGGGAGGCCGAGGCGGGTGGATTGCTCAAGGTCAGGAGTTCGAAACCAGCCTGAGCCAGACCCCACCTCTACTAAAAATAGAAAGAAACTAATTGACCAACTAAAAATATATATACAAAAAATTAGCCAGGCATGGTGGCGCATGCCTGTAGTCCTAGCTGCTTGGGAGGCTGAGGCAGTAGGATCGCTTGAGCCCAGGAGACTGAGGTTGCTGTGAGTTAGGCTGACGCCATGGCACTCACTATAGCCTAAGCAACAAAGCGAGACTGTCTCAAAAAGAAAAAAAAAACTTTGAAAGAAAATTCTCAAATTATAGTTCAATGTTATTTTACCTATTGAGATAGTCAAGATTTCTATCAAATGTCAAATTCTGCTTTTAAAGCATATGATTCTTAACAAAGGAAAAAAATAGGGATGAGGTCAGAAATACAAATCACCTCTGCTCCCAACTGGTAAATGGCAGAAAAGGCAATGACTATTGATGGTAATGGCCCCACCATTTTGATGTTAAGAATAAAAGATGAACAGAACTATTTATATTCTATGAAAATACATTGGATATCTCTCTCTAGGCTACCGGGAGGAACAACTTCTTTGGCTTTTCATAGAGCAGTTCATAATCTTCATCTAACCTTTGCCCCTCCATTTCAAAAGAATAAATAAGGAATATACTATCATATGCAAAAATGTTTAGCCTCTACCATTTCTTCCATATGCTTCTATTATAGCACAGATGAGACTTCATGTTGTTTGTATGTCAATTCCTCACTTATCTCTGTAAGTTTCCTGAGGGTAAGTTTTGATGGCCAGTGTTGGTTAAGGATTATGGAGTTCAAAAGAGCTAGGTTAAAAGCCAGTACTGTGCTGGTAAATGGCTCTCTGGAAAAAGCAGCTTTGATTATAGCATTTGCTGATTTTTGAGTTATAAATATTCCTACTATGGCCAAATTCAAACCTTGGCTGGCTCACAAGATTCTTGAATATTTAACAATTGGCTCTTAACAGCTAGCAGGAATTGGCTCCATGACAACACTCACTATGACCTGGGTGATATGAGTGCTCAGTCTCACTGAACTTCAATTTCCCCAATATGGAAAGAAAGAAGTAATAGTACCTATACTTCATTGGGTTGTATAATAGTAGGAATCAAATGAATATATCTAGCATAACCTCAGACAGATAGCAGGCCCTTGTTAATAAATATTTGTTGTTGTATAATAGAAACTGGACAAAATTCCATGAAATGTAAAGCTTCATATTCATATAATGAGTAAAACACAACTAAATAAAATTCTAAGAGACCTGTTTCTTTGACAGGTTTCAATAAAATAGAAGACCACCTCTAGCCTCCAATGATGTAACAGTATTTCTGAATCCACTCATCTCTGTACCTCCCCATGCCTACCTAAAGGAGTTCCAAAAATATAATTTAAATACGCACAAAGTACAGAAAGTATCGTTAAGAGTGTAGAAACCATAATCTAAGGACAAAGGAAGAAAGAAAACTGCATCCTATCGTGGTAATTGCTATTAAAGTACTGAATACAACACTCACAAGAACCCTGTGAAGTACCATTACCACTTTCATTCTAAGGATGAGGAAAGAAGGCTCAGAAAAGTTAAATGATTTCTGCCTAGCTAGTAACTGGAGGAAATAAGAGATATGAATCCCAAGTTTCTTATCACTTCCAGTCCTGTCATCTCATATTAGAAGGTACCTATTTCTAATACCAGAAAACCTGAAAACAATTCAAATATCCAACAGGACGATATTTAAGCAACCGGTGGCACATTTTCAAGATAAAATGCTACATGTGGACTCTATCAATATAAAAAAACAACAGAAACAAGAACTACAAAATCATTATACTTATGTTTTAAAGAATAAGCCTATCTGAAAATGCTCATGAAGTGGGAGAAAAATGTAGGATATATACATAAACTACAGGGTTTTGTTTTTTATTAAAAAAACTATATACATGACCAGAAGGATATATAAGAAAATGTGAATAGTGGTTAGTGGTTCTCTAGATGGCTAGATTATATATTTATATTTTCTAAGTAGGCAAGTATTTTTAATAAAAATTCTATATAAATGACAACTATGTAAAGATGACAATGATCAGAATTACTGAGCTATAATGCTATATCAAAATAACCCTCAATTTTTGTGCTTACTACACTTCTCCAGGTCCTAAGGAAAGTATAAAAGCTATGTTCTTTTTTTTTGGAGACAGAGTCTCACTTTGTTTCCCAGGCTAAAGTGAGTGCTGTGGCATCAGCCTAGCTCACAGCAACCTCAAACTCCTGGGCTCAAGCAAATCCTCCGCCTCAGCCTCCCAAGTAGCTGGACTACAGCATGTGCCACCATGCCTAGCTTAGTTTATATATAATATATATATATATATATATATATATATATATATATATATATATGCTGGCCAATAATGTCTTTCTATTTATAGTAGAGACAGGGGTCTCATCTTGCTCAGGCTGTTTCGAACTCCTGACCTCGAACAATCCGCCCGCCTCAGCCCCAGAGTGCTAGGATTACAGGCATGAGCCACGCGCCTGGCCTAAAAGCTATGCTCATGACATGCTTCTTCTGTCACTCACTGCTGTGTGTTTTTCATTTTAACTTAATATAGCAGCTTTATAAAGTTAACATAAAAAAGTTAGCTAAAATCTCACATATTTTGTCATTTCATTCTCCTACATGCAAAAGATAGTGAACCTTCCTAACACCATGAAGAGACTGAATTATACAATACTACCAAAATCAAAGACCTAAAAAAATCTTTAGGGAAGGAGTGGGAGAAGGATCTCCTGCAACTATAAATCATTTTAGGACAAGTGATAATTGTTTAGGAGGGTCGCTTTCCTGTGTTAGGCTGTATCAATGCAACAAAATACTTCATAAATATATTTTAAGAGGTTTCTGCATAGCAAATGCTCATGATAAAAAACGTTTTTCAATGGTTTATCTTTCCTTTGGCCTATGTCAAGTCAGAGGCAACTATATAAGAGGTTCACTAATGCATTAAAATTGATGACAGTTTTTAAAAATTTAATAAAATAACAAAGCCCTTTATTTACAAGCCCTGAATTGCTTTGCTGAAATTCAAATTTAAACGATAACTTAGGCCGGGCGTGGTGGCTCACGCCTGTAATCCTAGCACTTTGGGAGGCCAAGGCGGGCGGATTGCTCAAGGTCAGGAGTTCGAAACCAGCCTGAGCGAGACCCCATCTCTACTAACAATAGAAAGAAATGAATTGGCCAACTAATATATATATAGAAAAAATTAGCCGGGCATGGTGGCGCATGCCTGTAGTCCCAGCTACTCGGGAGCTGAGGCAGTAGGATCGCTGACCCGGGATGACGTTGCTGTGAGCCAGGCTGACGCCACGGCACTCACTCTAGCCTGGGCAACAAAGTGAGACTCTGTCTCAAAAAAAAAACAAAACCATAACTTACCTTTACAAAGAGTTTCTCTAATGGGATCTATTCAGCTATACCAGTGTCTTAACCTTTTTTCCATTATTGCCTTTTTAGACATTTTTAAAGCACCCCCTCCACTGAAATTGTTTTTCCCCATGAAATTTTATTGCCACAGACACACTGTTACCTGTGTGCTTTATGTATATATGTGCTTTATATTAATACATAAAAAGAGTAAGATATTTTCACCCTTTTGGGAGAGAGAGCACTCCTATTGGAAAGGTATAATTTATACCAACAAGACAATACAATCTTAGCTCATCAGTGACAATGAGGGACGAGGGCATGCAGACTTGCCAATTTGTGGGCAATAGTGAATGTGGATTTAAATAATTTCTGTATCCTAATCAATAAAAAGCCACCGATGTTTCCATCCAAAACAGTTTGGGGTTGTGGATGTCACTAGGGTGTGAACCAAACAGTAGAACTTAGGAGACTGAAAATGTTGATTCTATTTGGGAAGAAACCAAAATTAAAAGTCACTTACCATATAAAGGCAGAAGAGAAATTGCACTATTTAAAAAAATAAAATCTATATCAAGTGAATTATAGAATTTACAAAGTCATATTGAACCATATTAGATTCTTAAATCTTTTAATTTTACTAGTAGAAGACCAATTTTAGTTTTTTGGGATTTTGTTTTTGAGGGGAGAAATCCCCTGTAATTATAAATCATTTTTAGGACAAATAATCAATTAGTGCTTTCAAACAATCAAATTTTAGCTAAAGACTCTGAATGAGATAGAAGAGAAAGAAAAGTACCTTTTTCTTTCCTTGGAACTTTTGAGACAGGAGGAGAAAGTAGCAATGGCTCATTTGTTGGTTCAGAAAGGTCTGGTAACATGATGGCCTTGCTAGATCTAGTCCTTGTGTTACGGGATGATTTAGTAAAAGCAGTTGCAGCAAGCAAACTTTCTTCTTGGTAATTTGGTCCTTTGGGTGTCACTTCACCTACGCGTTCTTCTGATACTGAGTTTAATGAACGTTTTTGGCTTTGATTTTCAGTCTGTTTTGTAAGCTTTTTCTTAGAACTCCTCACCATAGCAAGCTCCTCATTTGGCACTAAAACAGATTTTTCTAAAGCTGGTTTTCCGACATCAATATTCTCATTTTTAGCTGGGGTGTTTCTTGTAGATCTCCTTTGGATTCTGAGAGCGTCTCTCTTCTTAGGACTTCTCTCTCCCTTAACAGCCTCAGCTTCTACATCTTCAGATGGATTTATTTTCCTTGGTCTACCACGTTTCTTAGGCATGGTAGGTGTATCAAATTCTGGTTGAAGAGTTAACTGGGATGAATCAACTTTACAGTCTTCTATCACATCTGATGGACTAACCTCTCTCTTTCTGACCCTACTCCTGCGTTGAATAGGCAGTTGCTGGTCACTGGGTTTCCCATCTTGTTTATATCTTTTATTTTCAGAAGCATCTAAATTAGCACTTCTCAGTTTTCTGATGGTTCTGCTAGGACTTGCTACTTTACTAACTTTTAGATCATTTATAATATCAATACTTTCCTCATTTTCTACAGATTTTTTAATTCTTTTAGGAGTCTTTTTTGTAACAGACGAGAAGTTAACTTCTTTTGTAAAAGAAGTTTCTTCAGTTGCTGGTTCCAACTGCTGAGATGATTTTAACTTTCTTAATTCCCTACCTGTAGTGATCTGTAATTCTTGTTTCACAGAATTAATACTTTCTAATGTATCTTGATTAATTTCTCTCTTTCTTCTTCCTCTTCTAGGAGTAATAGAATTTGGAGGTATTTGTTGGTTCTGAGATAGTCCTTCAACATCAGAGTAGGTGCTCTCAGAAGCCTCAGAAATTTTTGTTTTCCTAGTTTTCTTCATAACTGATAGCTGCAGCATCTTAGAAGTAGCAACATCTGCTGACTCTTCCTGTTGTGCAGATTTGATATTCAGATTTTGGACACGCTGTCCTCTTGTGCGAGTTCTGGAAGAAACCATGTCATCCACCTGACTGACATTTATAGTCACTGTACTTGTTTCTTGAACAGTTTTAGGTGTAGATTTGACTACCTTGGTGGAACTTAGTACCTTTTGGCTAATTAAAGGTATATTTTCATGAATGGTCTGCTCCATTGTATCTGAAGTAATCTCTTTACTTCTTGTGTCTTTAATTACATCTAATAAATTTTCCGCAATTGCTACTTTAATTGGTTCAGGCACATATGGTAAAGTCTCTACCTTTTGGGACTCTTGGTCACTAGTTATAATAGATGGCAAATTTGCAACATGTCCATGATTATCATTTTCCCCACTCGACACAAGTTTTTCCTCAGTTGCTGTGTTAACTGCTTTAGGTAACACATCAGATGATGCAGATTCACCTGGCTCAACTTCTCCTTCTTCACCTTCCAATATCAAGGTAAAGTTGCTCTGAGCCACAAAAAGTTCCCCATCTACTTCAGCAATGTCACATTCAGCAGAGTCTTTATTTTCAGACAAGTCACAAAACTGTTGCTCAATAGCATCAAGATTATATTGAAGCTTAAGAGTTCCTGAGGGATACAACTCATTAAATGAAAGATTCCTAGCCTCTTCTCCTGAATCTTGAGCTTCAAGCTTTTCAACTCCAATCACCTAAAAATAATTAAAGAGACTGGTTAAAGAATTTTAATATATATTTTAACAAATTACATAGGTTTTTAATGATCATCTCACCCTTGGTGTGTACATTTTTAAACATAAACTACATTTAATATGGCATATACTTATGGGTTTACTTTATAAAATATTCATTTAGGCAATCAGACTTTCTCATTCAGTCAAAATATCTAGACAGAAAAAGATTTTGAGATTATGACTAAAATTAAACTAGAAATTCCACATTTCCCTGGCTAAAAAGACAGTCTTAACAAAATCTTAAAAATTATTATGATGCTAACAGTTGTGAGAAGAATTAAGGACTTATTTTATTCTCACTCAAGAAAAAAATTAACTGGAGAAAAAGAAATAACCCCCATAATGTGTTTTAATGTTAATCCCCAAATTACCTAACTATCCATACTTTTCTAAACAGCATGATCCCCATAAGGTTGAAGAACAATTCACCTACATAAGCTCCCTTGGGCTAGACTCAATCCTCTTCCCTTTGCTGGGGCTGCATAAACCATGAAATTCCTAAGGCTTTCAAGTTCAGTACCTCTCCTGCAAGGGTTTGGTGGAAGAAGGAATGGTCCTTGCATTTACCTTTTGGTAAGGGAAGGGGAGAAAAAGGAGGAGGTAGAAAGTAACAGAGAGATCTCCTGACCAAGAAGGTAGAACATTACCACCCACCTAGACAATGACATTTTCCCACTCCCCAAACATTCAGTGAGATGACAGATTGGAAATAACCTAGAAATGAGGATTCCCACTTACACCATGCCCACAATTTTTATTAGCTTCCCAACTGAAGAAATAGGAAATTTATCCATCTATTTCACAGTGAGAATACTCATTAAGATGAATATGGATAACTATGACATTTTTATGAGTTAAGAAACTTCCCAAATTCTACACAATCAGATTTCTACAAATAATTACAAGAGTTGGTTTTTCATTTTAAATTCATTTATCATATAAAAGCTATTTGATGGAATTTCTAAAATAAGTCACATTAAGTACCCAAAAAATTAAATAAATCCTTTCTAGAGTATACAGAAATTCAACACCAGGCGGTTCAATATCTTTCTCCCATGAGGATGCATGGGGGAAAAGTCCTGTTTAACTGTATCCACAAATTTAATATATAGTCTGAAGAGTCTAAATGTTATACTTGTCTCTGAAGTGATCATTATCTGTTTTCATATGACTAAAAAAACCCTTTCATTTGAATCAGATTATCAACAAAAATTAAATAGTTAAAATTGTGGCTTTCCTCACACAGCCTTTTGGCTTTCGTGAAAACTAATTTCTTTCCTTTTCTTTTTTGAGATGGGGATATTGTTATGTTGCCCAGCCTGGTCTCAAACTCTGGGCTGAAGCAATCTTCCTGCCTCCACCTCCCAAGTAGCTGGGACTAAAGGTGCATGTGATGACACCTGTCATGAATCCCATTTCTTAAAGGATGTGTTCTTTTACATTCCAGAAAATATTTATATGCTTATTTTTTGAATCTAGATTTTTATAGAGGTTTTTATATAACAGTCAAATAACACATCAGCTTTGAACTATTGTCTTGACTAAACCAAAACTAAAGACTGACAAAGAAGTAAAAAATTAATTTTTTTACATGAATTTCTTGAGTATCAGGAGGACTGTCAGAAATTGGAGCCTTTTCTTCTGGTAAGTCAACACTTTCTTTTAGTACATCCACTTCTATTTCATGATCTTCTTTTAAGTTCAATGCTATTTCCTGGTCAAGCCTATGTTCAGAGATAACAGGACCTTCAGAGACAGTGAGCCCAGAGCTTCCACTACCACCAAGGACATCAGCCATAGCTGAAAGAAAAATGAGAGTTGTCTTTTACATTTTAAACCGAAAAATAGATCTATATACAATTAAGGAAGCAAACAGGAAGGAAAAGGGCTACACTGCATTTGAGAATATTATCTTAATAAACTGTCATGTTGCCAAAATGTCTTAAAGGGAAAAAGCCTGTGAAGATTTACATACTAATCCTCTTTTCTTCAGTGCCCTTTCAGTTTAGACAATACATACTTGTTTTTCGCAAATGTAAAACACAGAAGATAAATTTTACATTTAAAAATGACAACATTGGTTTTTCTCAGTTGGGATATAATTCCTGCCCTTGTTATCACTTACATGATAACAAACTGCTTTTAAGGAAGTTTTGTTCATCTGAAAATTTCATTTACCTAGTGACTATCAGACAACCATTATAGAATTACATGAGGGCCACGCAATCCGGGATTTAATTTTATGAAAAAGAATGGCTATCTCTCTTCTGGAAGAAAGCATCGAAATGGGTACAAATGTACCCTATTACTTAAAAAAAAAAAAACACCCCAAAAACAACAAAAAAACACTTCTTTTTCCTCCTCTTTGCCAATGTTTTATATGTCATTTAGCAATCACATTTGGGTTTAGAGTTTGTGAATGACACAAAATACTTCAAGGGGGGAAAAGATGACTAATAATCAAAAATCCTTTAGTATTGACAAAAATTAATTTTAAAAGGTTAAAATAAACCCCCAAACCATGAAAAAATATTTTCACACTTTTAACAGATAATGGGGCTATTATCCCTAACATGCAAACATGAATTAAGATGAAAAATGTTTTCCATCTGTCAGTTTGGCAAAGAGGAATGGGAAAACAGGTACTTTACCTTCTATTCATCAGTAATGAAAGTATGTATACAACCTTTATTGGGGAAAACAATAAAATATTAAAAATCTGTGCATACTTTTTGACCCAGCAAGCTCATGTTGCTATCCAACAGAAATACTGACACAGAATGAACAAAGACACAAGACTATTCACTGCAGAAATGAAATAGCAAAACAAACAAAAATGGTGATGAGTCCCTATGTTCACCATTAAGCAATTAGGTAAGCATACCACAGAATATCCATACTATGCAATACTATTAGAGCCATTAAAAAGAGAAGGATCAATCTATATTACTAACATGGAAAAATACCTTAAATATATTAAGGAAAGAAAGTTGCTTTTTTGATAATAAATGTACTAACAATGGAATGGTAATTATTTATGATAATAGCTAGCATTTATTAAACTTTAAGTGCCAAGCACTACTCTAAATACTTTACATGTAACTGGCTTAATCCTGACAACTCTATGAAATGATACTATTAATATTCCTATTTAAAACTATCAAACCTGGGCGAGGTGACTCACGCTGTAATCCTAGCACTCTGGGAGGCCGAAGCAGGTAGATCGCTCAAGGTCAGAAGTTCGAAACCAGCCTGAGCAAGAGCGAGACCCCGTCTCTACTAAAAATATAAAGAAATGAATTGGCCGACTAAAAGTATATACAAAAAATTAGCCGGTCATGGTGGCGCGTGCCTGTAGTCCCAGCTACTTGGGAGGCTGAGGCAGAAGGATTGCTTGAGTCCAGGACTTTGAGGTTGCTGTGAGCTAGGCAGGCTGACGCCACAGCACTCTAGCCAGGGCAACAGAGTGAGACTCTGTCTCAAAAATCAAACAAAAAAAAACTTATCAACATTTTACAGACAAAAAATAGATATACAGTTCATAGTCCTATAGTAAGTGCAGAATTGTATTATAGACACTTTAGCCACCAAATTATCTCCTTTGACTCTTACAGTGGAAGCCTTAGAATTGTTTTTGTGGACATATTTTTCTTTGTAACATGAAAGAAGGACAGAGTAAATGATCAGTACAGCCAGACTGCATACCAGATATCTACATGGGCAACTTTCATTTTTATTCTGTGTTATTCATAGATGAAGGAAAATATGCACAGAAAAAAAATCCAGGAAAAAGATACTTTAAATTATTAATTATGGATCCCTAAAATGGGTAACCAGGTTTTTACTTTACATGTTAGACAATTCTCTCTGGATTATCTTATAATAAGCATATATTACACTGCTAATAAGGGAGAAAAAACTGCTCAAGCTTCCTCTAAGCCCTATTCATAATGTGACTGGCAGAAAGACAGAACTGCTGAGAGCATGGGCTCTAGAGTCAGGTTACTATGTCATAGTGTAGTGTTGTGAGGATTAAATGAGTTAATATATGTGAAATGCACAGACGAGTTTGGGACATAGACATTCAAGGCTGCCCCTAAACCCAATTATAAGCTCACTGAGGAAAATGTATCTTCCTCATCTCTGTATAGCCAGGGTCTAAGAAATAGCACTCAAAAAAAAAAAAAAAAAAAAAAAAGTTCATCAGATAAAAAGAATTAAATGAATTCCATATATTTATTAATTTCTCTGGAGTAAATTCAGTCATTTGTGATTATTTTCTAACAAAAAGCCAACATTGCTTGGCCTTAAGTTATCACAAACACAGAATAAAAATGAAAGTTGCCCATATAGATATCTGAGTCTAGGAAGATCAAATAGTAGGTATGCAGTCTGGCTATAGACTGGTAATTTACTATGTTCTTCTTTCATGTTACAAAGACAAATATGTCCACAAAAACCATTCTAAGACTTCCACTAAAAGAGCCACAGAATGCCTTATAAGCAATCCACTGTTTTGATATCTGATACATCACAGAATGCTTTTATGCCAGGAAAGCTGACCAGAGAGGAAGTATTGAGGGGGAAAAAAAACCTGAATAGATTTTTTTCTAAGAACAGAATACTTTTTACTCAGAACACTAAAATGAAATAATTCTAAAGTCAAAATAATACATACATTTATTGTTATCTGCTTTAATTGTAGAGGTGTAGGTTTCAACAGGTATTAATCCTTCATCCAAAACTGGTACCTTGGACTTTAGGGTGAGAATTTTCCTTTAGAAATAGAAATATATACTTTAGTGTATAAGAAGATCTCATCTGCTTTAATCTGCTTTAGTCCTACTGCCTTACCTATTTGTCATTTTGTTGATGAAAACTGAGGGTCAGAGAAACAATATCATCCAAGCTCATTTTGAACAAAATAAATTTACAAGCAAATTTAGAAACAAATAATGTGGTACTTGTTTTTCCTATTCTTTTACTTTTTTAGCAAGTGACATGGCCTTCAAGTACAAATGAAATGATAATCTGTGACCATATTCTTCAAATAAGTCCATCAAGCATTACAGAACATTTCCTATGTACTCAGCAGAAGGAGGTTCAATATTTTAATGCTAACTGGAAAGAGTATGACGAATGACTCAGAATGGGAAACCAATGGGACCTGTGTTAATTTATGTTATGAAAATAAATTCTGGAATATGCTGACAGTGGTCCTTTACTATTCTGAGCTAGCCTTTCCCCAAAACCCAACTAAAGCATGCTGATTTTAAAATAGGATAGATAATATTATAAAGTTAATTCAAAGAAAAGCAGGTAATTGGAATATACACACATTTATTTATAGATTTTTCTAAGACTTATCTCTGTCATAATATTTATATAAGGGTAATAGAACCAATGATAAATCTCCACAAAATATCAAATAAACTTACATTTAAAAAGGAACTAGTTTGCCAAGATAGTGAATATTGACCTAGATTCTCACTGGTTACCACAAAGTTTCTTCTCATGTGATTGCTGCAATTACCCATTGAACCCAGTGTAATAAATAACATTAATTTTCATTAAAATTCAAAAAACACTAGAATAAGGCCGGGCGTGGTGGCTCACGCCTGTAATCCTAGCACTTTGGGAGGCCGGGGCGGGCGGATTGCTCAAGGTCAGGAGTTCGAAACCAGCCTGAGCGAGACCTCGTCTCTACCAAAATAGAAATAATTAATTGACCATAAAATATATATACAAAAATTAGCCGGCATGGTGGTGCATGCCTGTAGTCCCAGCTACTCGGAGGCTGAGGCAGAAGGATCGCTGAGCCCGGAGATTGAGGTTGCTGTGAGCCAGGTTGATGCCACGGCACTCACTCTAGCCTGGGCAACAAAGTGAGACTCTGTCTCAAAAAAAAACAAAAAACAAACAAACAAAAAAAAACACACTAGAATAAGAAACAATTGGTAATCCTTTCATATTAGTTTTCTCCACTTCTTCCATGAAGCCTGGCAAAAATTCCAGCTAATCTAGATTTCTCTTCTTAGAAGTGAAGCATGTGATTGATTCTATATATACACTGATTCTGTGGGGGGTTGTGAAGTCACTTTCATTATTTATAAGTAATGACCACTCACATGTCTTAAATTGTTTTATGTGGATTAATTTACTAAATTACCTTACAACTTGATATATGAAGCTGTCACTTTTTGTCTTCTACAACAGTGCTACTCAAAGTGCTTATATGCAAATCTGTGTCCAGTGTTGAACGAACAAGAACTTTTTGCCGAGGTCAATAACTTCAACTTCACTCATCTTACAGATTAGCCAGCTGATCTTCACTAAAGGAAGCAGTACACTGATTTAATATCCAATGAAACTGCTTATCTTGTTGCAGACCATAAACTGTTTGAAGCAGCTACCACTCTACAGCCAATGCTTTGAATAGCAATGCCCTACATAATCTAGTGTATTGCTTTTCCTGTACGAAGTGTTCATGAGATTATTTGGGAGCATAATACTTCAATTAGTCACTAAAAAAGAAATACAACTTAGCTAGAGTCTTGTATCGAATAAATGGTAGGGCATAAATGTCTTGAGTCATCTTCCTTATGTTCTACTTTATCTATAGGAGTCCTGTGCCTGACATACTGAAACCACTGAAAAGGAGAGGGCATGGAGGAATGCATAGCTGTGAGTGACACTTTTGCTCTTTAACAAAACAGAATCACCAAGGAATGTTAAAAGAGTTCTGCTTTCACTTCATCATGTCTTTGTACATACCAGAAATGTCAGTAGCACTGTAAGATTTCATGCTAACTACCAAATATCACAATTGTACAACTAAACTTCTTTTAAAACAGACATTCAAAATGGAAACGTCAAAGATTAATAAGATCTAATATGCATAGAATATTTTACTGTGGCTCACACTTTTATTAAGCTTCAAAAGTGTCTGAATCTTACTCCATAAACTTACCCTTCATGGGTAGATGGTTCGCAAGCAGAAGCTTCAAGTCCTTGAATAGGGCTTAAGTGATTTAGTTCTGAAAATGCATCTTGCCACTAAGAGACCTTTGTCTCTGCATCTTCTAAAGTGCCTATAAATCATACAGATAAGAATATTATTTATGCTAAATGTTTGGCAATTACTAGTGGTCTGGACTATTATTTTTTAAAGTTGTTGAGTCTGGTTTTCTGTTCTTTTAGTTTTACTCCGTTGTTACCAGACTGCAGTACTTCATCTTCTAATTCTCTGAGCCTAAATCAAGAGCTCCCTCAACCTCCCACTTCTCAAGTTTGGCTTAACAGGCACTTAAACATGCAAGTGTTTTACATATATTAACTCACTTAATGCTCAATATCCAAACAGGTCCATGAGAAAACTGAAGCATAAGCATACATTGCTGTCACAAAGTTGCTACTTAGTAAGTAGCTAAGCTAGGATTCAAATTTAGCCTGTTTCAACCGAGTTCATGTTATATCCCCTCACAGAAACAATAAAGATTACTACTTTGAGACTGCCTAATACTGTAAGAATAACCATGAAGACAGTATTACGAACATTCTCAAATATTATCATTTAAATATTTGAAGCAAAACGAAATGGCA